TCAATGATGCAGAATTTGAAACACTATTGACAAACAATTTAAACGTGTAAGGCATCTTTTTAGACTACAATGCATTTCAGCTTCGAAACTTTAGTGATTGGAAACTAATTACTCAGACCATGAGCAAGTATATGTTGGACCTGACTTGCCATTCATTGAACACCTTTTAAAGCAATAAAGAACTCAATCAATGTCCCATGACCACCATTTCCCCAAACCTTGGCATGGTGATTGTCTGCATTCTCTGCCACTAGGTCATTTCAGTTCTTAGTTCCAGGGAGTATTTCAAGTGAGTTTAAGGTTAAAGTCCAGTTCACTTAGTGGGGTTTCCAATTCCGGTCTTTCTGGTGTGGTATATGAAGAGTGTTGTGCACCTCAAAAGGACAGAGTCTACTGTCCCAGTTTTCTATAGCACGTTGGCTTTGTCACCATGAGCTGGATAAAAAGCGCCCAATTAGGGACATAATACCAGGCATATTTTCCCCTTGAGGTCTATATAAGTAATGTTAGTTTTTCTCAATGGTGGGCTGCCTCACCCGGCTTCCCGACCATCAGAAATGTAATCACCTTTGGTGTGTGTGCCCCTTGCTCTCCACCCTCTTGATCCAAGTTCCTATAAGATTCTCTAATTCATGTTTACTCTTATAGGAGTGTCAACTGATTTGGGATGACTGTAGGATATGGCAGCACTTGATTGATCTCCCTCTCCCCACAGCATGGAAAACTGACCCCATCTGGAATGAGGCCACCTCTCGAGGTGGTTTTTAAAATGCTCAAATAAGGGAAAGATACATAGTTAATTAATGGGAACTAGGCAGGCACACTACCTCATTTGGTAGACCAGATAGAAGACTACATGAAGTGAGAACAGAAGCCTGCCTTTGTCTTGTTGTGTTTTTTTTTATCTTTATAGTAATGGACTCATATAATATTTGTCCTTTTGTGATTGTCTAACTTCACAACATAATGGTTTACAAGTCCATCCATGTCATGAGGTGCTTCATGGCTTGATCACTTCTTTTTATGGGCACATAGCAGTCCCACTGTGGTATGTATGTACCTGTTTCTTTGGGCTATTTCCAGTTCTTGCTTTCGTGAACTGTGCTGCAATAAGCATGGAGAACATATGTCTGTTCATATTGTGGCTCTTATTTTGGGGGGTATATGTCCAACAGATGTATTGCTGAGTAGTACTATTTCTATTCCCAGTTATTTTAGGCAGTACCTCAACCACTTTCCACATGGTTGTATGTGTTTATTCCACAGCAGTATATGAGAGTTCTAGTCTCTCCATACCCACTCTGTTGTTCTCTGTTTATTTGAATTGAACTATGGTTGTGGGTATAAGGTGATAACTCATCTTTGTTTTGATTTGTGTCTTTGGTATGGGTAGTAATACCACATGTGTTTGTTAGCCATTCTGATGTCTTCTCTGGTGAGTGAATTCTTTGTTCATGTCCGTTGTCCACTTCTTAAGTGGATTATTGTTGTTATTTCTTAGTGAGGTAGTACTGAATTCTGTAGATTTTAGTCATTAGTCCCTTGTGCATTGTGTCTTTGCTAAGGACGTTTTCCCAAAGAGGTTTACACTTAAATCTCAAAACCGCCTTGAGTTCGTTTTTGTGCATGGGGCACAAAATGGGTGATAGCTCATTCTTCTGCAAATGGAGATCTACTTTTTCCAGGACCATTTAATGTTTCCCATTTAAAGTTTTTGGTCCTTTGTCAAAAATCAAGTTGCCTGTAGGTTGGTGCTCTTGTTTCTGGTTTTCTAGTCTGTTCCATTGGTGTATGTCTCCATCAGTGTACCAATAGCAGACTGTTTTTACTACTGTGACTATAGTAGGTTTTGAGGGTGGGTGGTGCAAGGCCCCCTACTTTGTTCTTCTTTTAATGTGTTCGTTGCTTTTTCTGGGTGTCTTCCCTCCCTAACTGGAGTTGCTAATTTATTTCTTTAAAGAATAAAGCTGGGATTTGGATTGGAATTGCATTTTATCTTTAGTTTGCCTTAGGGAGTGTTGACACTTTAACAATATTAGGTATTCTTATCCATGAACATGGGATAGTCTTCCATTGATGTAGGTTTCCTTATGAGACGGCCTCCTTAGGAGAAGACCCTCCTTATAAAGGTACCATCAGGCTTTGACCTGATTGACAGGCTAGACTCCACCCCTATACTTCTTTTTTTGTTTTCGAAGTAGGAGGTTTATATTTTATTAGGAATGGTATATGGACAAAGTGGTATGAAAATGAAGTAATAGAAGTAAAATGTGACAAAACATGTCTGATGTTTTTTGCAATATAAATATTGAATTTTTTTAAAAATCAAGTTGATTCGAAATTCTGTAACTACCACAAGCCTTATAATAGATAGAGATATTTAGGGTAGGGTATTTCACCCGTCCTATCAAAACTCATTGCCATGAAGTCAAGGCTGAATCATAGCTGTCAGAGGAAGCAGCCTCCAATAACCGAAGGGCCAGAAGGTGCAAATGTACAGCGATAATATATAAAGATTATAGTGAAGTCGTAGAGGATAAGAAAGGTATGAGAGAGAATAAAGGAGTCAAATACATTTCATGATAGCAGACTCAGCTCGTTTTGATGGACCTTGAAGACCTGGGAGAAGTGAGAGAGCCTTTACTATCTTGGGACATTTATAGGTAGCCTTAAGACATGCATATTCAGTAGTTGCATGCATCACTGGTGGGTGGTATCTACATTAAGGTCCCTGAACTCACAGGTGAGGAAACCTAATACCTGCATTGGGGGAAGGTACATGGGGGTGGGTGGGTGGGGGTTGGTGTCATGATGGGAAGAGAGTAGAAGGATAATGTATGCGTCTGTAGGGAGATAGACTCAACCATGTACTCACTGTATGGCAGCATAGCTATTAAGGGGAGCATCTGTGGGAATGATTTTTAAAGGGGTAATGTACTTTAACTTAACCTCTAATTTACTAAAGTGGAGGCTTTCGTACTGTGGAATACCAGCTTTCCAGAGCCCATCTTTTATAAGTTCGGGAATATAGTCCATGTCATATATCCCTGAGTGTTAGTTTCCCACACATAGAACCCTTTAGGACAGAGTAGAACCTGCCTCCTGTGGTTTTTCCAAGACTAAATCTTGATGGGAGTAGACTTCCTCATCTCCCTAAGAGTGGCTGGTGCCTTCTAACTACAGATCTCGTGGTTAGCAAGTCAATTCATAATACACTATGCCACTAGGGCCCCTCTGCTTGAGAGATGGACACATATTTTATTTGCTATATTGTCTTTTCTCCACATTGAATTAGAATGGATCCCAGTTTTTCTGATTTAAGAAATGGGCTGTGGCACTTTACTTAACCAAGTGGATTATCTTTTGCTCATGTGAACCATGTACATTTACCATATGTTAATGCAAATAACATTTGTTTGCCAACTGTAACCCCCGTCCCTCCAAGTGTGAGGTATTTCTGTAAGTATACTATGCTAATTTAAAAAGTGAACATAGCTAATAAACTATAAAGCATGGATGTTGATTTGTGTAAAAACACAGTACCTCTATTGATAAAGAGCAGTAGTTCTTAAACTTTAGCATACATCAGAATCACCTAGAAGGGTTGTGTAAACAGATGGCTGGTGTCACTCCTGAGTTTCTGATTCAATAAGACTAAGGCACCAAAGCCAACCCCACGTCCCCAAGTCGATTGTGATGTAGAGCCACTTTATTTTTTTTTTTGCATAGTTAAGTTGCTTTTCTTTTTTTTTTTTTCTTTTTTTACATTTTATTAGGGGCTCATACATCTGTTATTGCAATCCATACACACATCAATAGTGTAAAGCGCATGTGTACATCATTCGCAAAACATTTTCTCTCCACTTAAACCCCCCACATTAGGTCCTCATTTTTTCCCTCCCTCCCCGCTACCCCCTCCCGCATGAGCCCTTGATAGTTTATAAATGGGTATTTTGTCATATCTTGCCCTGTCCGACGTCTCCCTTCATCCACTTTTCGGTTGTCTGTCCCCCAGGGAGGAGGTCACACACAGTTCCATGTAATCGGTTCCCTCTTTCCTACCCATTCTCCCTTTACCCTCCCTGTTTTGCCACTCACACCACTGGTCCTATAGGGCTCATCCGTCCTGGATTCCCTTTATTTTCAGTTCCTGTCTGTACCCGTGTACCTCCTCTGGTCTAGCCAGTCTTGCAAGATCGAATTCTAGTCATGGTAGTGAGAGCGGGGAGGACACCTTTAGGAACTAGAGGAAAGTTGTATTTCGTAGAGCCACTTTATATGACAAAGTGGAATTTCTCCTTAGGATTTTTAAGGCTGTAAATCTTTATGGAGGCATACTCCTGTCTCTCTCACTCAGAGCAGCTGTTAGGGGTGAGCCACTGACAACCTTTCAGGTAGCTGTACCCACAGGTAAGGCCTGAAATTTTGCATTTCTATTAAGTTCCTGTAGTTTACGTGGGTTACTCCTTAGGCTGCTAATTGCAACATCTCAGTTTGAAACTATGAACTGTTCCCCAGGAGAAAGATGGGGCTTTCTTCTCCCACAAAGATTTACAGTCTCGGAAACTCACAGGGCAGTTCTACTCTGCCCTATAAGGTTTATTGTGAGTAAGTTTTTGGGGGTGCTGATGTTGCTGGTCCAGAGACCATTTGAGGATTACTATTATAGACCATTTTAAAACCTTTTTCAATAAACTACATCTAATTAATCAGTTGTTAATGTAGAGTAGCTTTTCCACTTTTATATATTGACTCGCAATCATATTTAGACATGTAGTTAATTCTTTTATGTCATATATATTGAATATTTAATACTATTTTAAAGTTCTATTAAATGAAATTAGGATATACCAGCAGTATAGAAAATAGTGTAATTATTGTGACTGCATCTTGAGTATATTGTATAATGATAGTTTTCAGTATTCCTTTCTACTTTGTGTATGCCTGAATATTTTCTTAATAACCTGTGGTAATTTTACTCATATTTTTCTTCATAATAGCATAAAGAAAAGATTGCATCCTATAGAAAAACACCAAAAACTGACCAGAGTGATGTGGGAAAGGAGATGAAAGAGAAGTCTTCCCTGAAACGTAAACTTCCATTTACCATTAGTCCGTCAAGAAATGAAGAACGAGATTCAGACACAGGTTAAATAATTATTATTTTCTGGTAAAATCTTGATTGTCTTTTGCTGTGATTATCTTTTTATGTGCAACACCCCTTTTGTGTGCTCCCTTTGTGTATTTTAATATTTCAAATTTTTCATTTTGGTGTAGGAAATTTCTTACTCAAATATAATTATAAATCCCTTACCAATTTCACTACTTAATTTTTAAGGGGAGAATTAAAGAAATTCATTCATTGTTGTGGAAGCAGTAGGATATAGCAAATTTGAGAAAGTATCAATGAAATAAATGTTAGGCATTTCAGATTTAAAAATTAATTATAAATATATACCACCAAAACAAAAAGAATTCTATCTTAACTGCATAAACCCCATTCCTAGTACTTTTGTTTCTCAAGATGTTTATATACTAAAAATGCTTATTTGATATTATCCCAATCATCTATAATAGAACCTTGTTACCTCTGAAAAATAAATTGCTATTTTGTGTTTTAATTCTGAACTAATCATTTTGTAAAATCTGTATAAGCTAGAATGTTTGTTATTAATGGGGCTGTGCATTTAAACCCACTAATTTATTGAAAAATCAATTACTTTTATTATAGAAACAAAAAATTGTTTCTGAAGCTGTAGTTAACAGGTTATAAATGGTTTGGCACCCTGGCTTCAACAGTCAGCTCAGATATGGTGATGACTTAGGGATGTTACAAGAGCAGTTGTGCATAAGGTCCCTGTGGAGTCAGAACTGACTTGAAGCACCTAACGCTGTAGCAGCAACAGCTGACGTTTAAAGCAGGGCACAGTGCATTGAGCAAAGCTGGTTGTTTTTTCTTCCGTTTTAACAAGATGCTTATATTTTATTTTCTGCTTGAACTCTTCATTGTACTCACTTAAAAATAACATTTAAACCAATTAAAGTGCAGCATTGGAATGTCCTTAACCATCACTAACAGCCAAGTCCAGGCAGTTAAGATTTAAAATAAAATTTCATCCAAGTTGCTGAAGACTCTTCACTTGGGATTTCTTGGGAACTTATTTTCTCTCCTCAGTCCATGGATTAGTTCTGCACCCTAAAAATATTTCAACTACAGTTAAAAGTTTGTCCAATATCCACTCTAAACACATCAGGTTAACAGCTAAGAATGTTACTTGTGCCAGTCAGAATCTGATACCAATTAAATGGTGACAGCTTTGCCAATAAACAAGAATATACTCTGCCACAGCCGACAGGTCCCAAAGATACATGGACGTTTTCAAAGTTGTTTCATCTCATGTATTGAATGTTAATGAACTGCTATTAAGTATATTACAGTTTTGTAACCATGTAGAGTAGTAGTTATTAGGCTGCAGTCAGCATGGTTGGCTGTTTCAAACCACCAGCAGCTTTGCAGAAGAAAGACTGGACTTTCTAATTCCGTTACAGTTAGTCTCAGAAACCCACAGGGGGTCGCTATGAGTTAGCATTGACTCTTGGCAGTGGTGTGGGTTTTTACTAACCATATAGTTAAGAAGAATTTAATATCCAGAATACAGGAAGAATTTCTACAACTTAACAAAAAAAAACAATTTTTAAAATGGGCTAAGAAGTTATATTCTTTGTTTATTTCAAGTTTTTCCCCTAGATTCAGAATTTTGGATTTTTGCTTAAAGCATGATTTAAATATGCTTAAAAACAGGGAGCTTTATAATGTTTGTGAAAAATGGAATTAAGTAATAATCGAAATTTCTACAGACTTTCTGAAGCATTCTTATAATATTCTTAAATTGTTTAAGATCACTTTATTAAGAAAGCCATTGTGTGTCTTTAGGTATGACAAAATAAACAATTTATAAATTATGAAGGGCTCATGAGGGAAGGGGAAGTGGGGAGGGAGGGGACAAAAATGAGGACCTGATGCCGGGGGCCTGGGTGGAGAGCAAATAGTTTGAGAATGACGAGGGCAATGAATGTACAAATGTGCTTTACACAATTTATGTATGTATGGATTGTGATAAGAGTCGTATGAGCCCCTAATAAAATGATTTTTAAAATAAAAATAATAATAATAATAATTGAAAAATAAAATAAAACTTAATCTTGCCTACATTTTCTCTCTGGAGATCATTTACTTTATTTAAATTTAATAAATTTAAATCTTTAAATTTAAATTATTCATTTAGCTAGAGGGAAGAAATTTTAATAAATTCAGAGAAATGTAACATTTTTAGGAATCAATTAAGGCTTCAAAAGAATAAACTCCCCATGAGAGCTTTTGTTATTAGATCAGGTAAACAATTTTCCTTAAAGGAGCAAAATAAAATTAGGAAGACATGAAGTTTGGACATTGGATAAACATAATCTGAGTCATATTTTATTAATGGTTCTTTCCCCCCAGTTTACTCTTCCACTGTTTGAAACAAGTGAAGTGTAGATTTCCCCTAAGTTTCATAACAAACTCTTACATTTTAGAAATATTTTGTTCCATCACAACCCAAGATATGATAGATTTAAATACTATATAATTTTGATAGGCTGAATTTGTAGATTTTAGAAAACGGATGAAGGCTCTGGTTTATATCCATTATGCACACATACATGTGCTTACACACACTCAGTCACACTCAACAGACATTAAAATAAACTTCCCTAGGCCTAAATTAAATATTTTATTTATAATTCAGCTGCCTTTTAGTTTTTATGATCTTGAGAAATAAGTAAATTCCAGAATTAAATAAATTTTACAAATAAAAATTATGTATAGCTTCAACCCCTATATCTGACATTGTTCTATTCTCTAGCACAAATTGTATTTTAAAGTGTGTGTGTGTGTACGAAACGTTGCCATTTTGTTGATGCCAACTTATAGCAATCCTATAGGAAAGGGTAGACCTGCCTCTGTGAGTTTCTGGGATCATAATTTTTTATGGGAGTAGAAAGCCTTATCTTTCTCCTGTGGAGTGTCGGGGGGTTCTAAATGTGTAACCTGGGCTGCTGGACAAAGACACAGAGGTGGAAATCTTTATAATATGTATGATAAATGTCATCTTAAAATGTTCAGTATTTTAAATTTAATCAAGGTAAAAACTTTTTAAAAACAGGGAAGCTGTTGAAAGATACAAGCAAGCAGTTCAGAATAACTGAATTATAGTTAGCAAAGAAGTAGAGGCCAACATACCAGACATGTTTTCAGTGAATTTAATGAAATTATTGTGTTAATATAAATGCTACCCAGATCATAAGTTGGAAATAGGAACTCTGTTTAGTCCCTTTTACTTGACATCTTACTTAGTTAGTTGACTTACTTACATTTAATTGACTTAGTTGACATCTCACTTAGATGGCTGCTTGTTTGGAAACAAGCCTTTAATTTAAGGAATATCTTGTTAGAGGTAAATGTGACCAACGTATATAAAAAAAACTAAAATGTTATACTCTAAATAAATAATTATCTATATAAATAATTATAGATAAAAATTATTTATCTTCAAGAATGTTATTTCAGCTTTGTTTATGATAGCCATCAACAAAAGGGAGGGGAACAACATGGGGAAATGTCAAGTACTATTGGATTTCTAAAAATATAGCAAAGAAATCCAATAATTAAATAGTATTTTTACCCTTTGAAATAGAATTCTAGGAAAAAATGAAGGATAATAGAAAAATAGTAATGATACAAACCAAACCAATAGTTACTTAAACTATACACGCACTCCTTGCTTGTTGACATAGTTAAGTTCTAAAGGCCCCAGGTAGTTATGTAAAAGTAAGCATTAAGGAAAAATGGAGGATGACCATATCACACCACAGACTGGAGGTTGACTGCATCATTACATAACTACCACACAACTGAAAATCATGGCTCTTCCAGGTTGACCCATAATTATCACAGCCAGTGTTACTCTTGCCTCACCCCTTGGCAGTCGTAACGGTCAGACATACATTGTGAATTTACACAATAGAGAGATGACATATGTGCAGAATGCCGTATGATGAGATAATCGGTAAATGAGAAATAACCAAAAACAAAAGCAAACATTACCACTGAGTCAATTCAGATTCTTAATGACCCAGTTAAGTCCCCGGAATTTTACATAGTACTCACTGAGAATGTCAATCACAGGTTTGCTGAAATAATACCTATCTTAATATAACATATAGGACATTGATGTAGCAAGACCAGGTCTGCCTGCCTCCCAGCAGTTCAACAATCTTGGAACCGCTGAATTCTGCTTCCTCAGATACCCTGCCCTCAGGTTACAAGTGTGTCTGAGGTAGAGTCCAGTTCCCCCAGTGGAGATAAAGTGGAGCTGACATCAAGGAGTTCAAGACGTCTGAAACTGGTTGTGGAAGCAATTTTACAACACTGTTTGATGTGATTGAACTATGGAATGGCATGATATCTGGATTAACTGCTAATAAAATGGTTTGGGGACAACAAAAAAACAAAACAGTATCTTTGGAGGAGATCTGCTGGGCCAGTTCCAGGCAGGGACATCAGCTCAGGTTATGGCAACTGATTTTTGGTATTCCAAGGCCATGGTCCTAATAAATTTTTGTCAAAGGACACAGGGAAATCAAGGGGGCTTACTGAGAAAAAATTTTCAAGAAAAGTTAAAAATTGGCTTGCTTAGGAAACAGCCAGAAAAGTTGTGCCATGAAATTTTTTCCCATCACCACAGTGAACTGGCTCAGTTTTTGAGGGTAGCACTGACTGTCCCAATGAGAATTTTGTAGAAATTCTCATGGAACAGTAATAGGTTCGAACCTCCAACCTCACGGTTAGCCACAAAGCATCCCCACGAAACCATACATCATCATCCGTTCTACAGCCCTGATCCTGCCCTTCAGACTTCTTTTTGCTTGCAAAATTAAAGACCATTAAAGAAGAAACAAGATTTGAATAGCTCAAGGATGTCAAAAGTGTATTTTGACATGGTGTAACTTGAAGAGTGGAAAATTTGTTCAGGAAGGAATTGAGAAATAGAAACACAGCCTTCTGAAGTATATAGACCTTGTCCGAAAAACTCACTGGTTCACTGATCCCAAAACTAGCAATAATGTCATCAAGTAGATATATGATTCTTAGCTTTCATTTTAAGATACACTTCTGTATCTTAGAAGGAACCCTGGTGGTGCAGTAGTTAAGGGATCTGCTGCTAACTGTAAGGTTAACTGTTTGAACCCACCAGCAGCTCCTTGGGGAAAGGATGTGGCAGGCTACTTTGGTATAAGTAAAGATTTATAGTTGGAAATGAAATGGAACAGTTCTGCCCTATAGGGTTATCATACACCAGATTCAACTGTACAGCAACTGGTTTGGTTTTCTAGTTATTATTTGTGTATGAAACTTTTCTCCTAACACAGGAAGATAGGGGATATGTGGTAAAATTCAAATCGTCCTTGGGGTAGATTCTGTGTTTGGGGGTCCATCATCACAGTTGTAGAGCTTGTTAAGGTTTTATAAACTAAAATCTGTGCTAGTCATTTTTAAAAATTCTGTTTCCTGAGTCTCTGGATGCCATTACAGGATTTGCCTTATTTAATAAGCAAATACTTTTTTAAAAAGTAAACATAATTTTTCTAGTATTGTGTGAGGCCAGGTTCTCTAGAGAAACAAAACCAAGACACTTATGATTATATATATATATATATTTATACAGCTAGAAGGACTATAACAGCTAATTTGTATACACAGTAGTACAGAGGGTTCAGTTCGACTCAGTTCCATGGAACAGTTAATATACTGGAAGTCCAACTCACAGGGCTGCTCGGTCAAGGGCTTCTTGACTCAGGGTCGCGGAAGCAGGCAGCTGAGTCTCCCTGAGGGCAATGTAGGCAGAGACCACCCACAGGCAGCAAACAGCAGGCTAGGTCACCAACAGTCAGCAGCTCAGGAGCTTAGCGAAGCAGACCCAGATGGGATATCGAACTCAAGCAATGCAAGGCGACAGGACCCACCAGCCTCAAGCTCAAGCGATGTACACGCCAGCAGCATGGCGAAGCAGGTCTTGAAGGAGCCTCCAGCTCTAGGGACATGATTTGTGGTTGGCTTGTCCCACAAGTAGTGTAGCTTACAAGTTGAGGTAGAGAACAAGCTAAAGCAGGTGCATTCTGATCCAAACACCAGAGTGCAAGATGGGGGTGGGGGGGTGGGGCAAGCTATGCAAAGCCATTTATCTCTTTGCCCTCCAATCAAACTGCAACCTGATTATTCCCACATGTTCCTATTGGCTAGGTTGGCACAACTAACCTATCTGTCACCTATCTACTTTAAAATCATTTTTGGTGATTTTCACAGAGCTAAATTTTATTATGAAACTTTTCAAACATACAGTGCAGTCCTTTTAAATCATCTTTAGTATTTTTCTTTTATTCTTTTATGATTTGAAGTAGTATGTTATTTTTAAAAGATAAGTATTACTTGTTATGGCTTGCTGTCTTTCAGGAATAGTTCATTACTCTACATAGCTTTCTGTGTTACATCAGTCTCCTGGATAGTAGTTGCCTCGCCCCACAGAAGAAAGAAGTAGTTGAAAAAGGATATCAGTTATGGCCATTTTAATATTCTAGCTCCTGAATTTAATCTCTGTACCCAGATGCCCCAAATACAAACATTTGAATGTAATATAATATAATACATTTGTGGGGTTAGTGGGAGTAACCATACTTTCAAAGAATGATTTGGACAAAAAATTACACTAAATTGAAAACTGAAATTATCTACTGTGTGTTAGCTTGTGAAATGACATGATCTGTTTTGGGTAATATATTGAATTCAATTTGTTCATACAACATCTTAGTTCTTCCCACTCCCCTTTTTTTCCTGCTTTTTAAACTGTGGCAGTCATTTAAAATTTTTGGATTGTCTATAAATGAAATGTCAAATATTACTCCTCATAAAATTCTTACAGTTGCAAACCAAATGCATTCAGTTTATTAGAAACTTTAACATTCTATCAGTTTAGCAAATACTTGGATACCTATGAGCCTACCTGTTCATTAAGCCTTGCATGTATGTGGCAGTTACTTGATCTCTTGTCAACTTGTGAAGAGGTGGAGTCTAGCCTGTCAATCTTGTCATAGCCAGCGATGACTCTGTGAGGGCATGGCCTTCTCCTGAGGATTCTGGGAACTCCAGTCTTCCTCCTCTAAGGTGAGACACACACTCTCTGCTTCATCTCCCTGCAAGACATTCCTGTAAGCCACATGGAGACACGCTGATGGAGCCAGAGCGCTGGCGCTGGAAGAGCCATGTGCAGACCCACACTAGTGCTAAGATGCTTCCGCCACCACTGGATCCACAGGCTTCCGAACCACTGGCCTGTGATCTTCCTGCACTTGACGTCATTGCATGTGTTGCGTGAGTCTGAAGAGGAATTTATAGACTGGTATCAGACATAGGAGCTAATATCGGACTTACGGACTTGGACTGGACTCGGCTGGAATGTTCTCATAATATGTAATTACGCTTTTATATAAAGCTCTTTCCTACACATCTATGAGTCTCCCTGGATTTGTTTCTCTAGTTTACCTGAACTAACACAATGTACATTGATAAATCTGACATCGAAGAGGAATCCTGTAGTCTAGCAATTGTTTTGTTACAAATGCTTGAATTATACATAGTTAACAAAATTAAATCTTAGTAATAAAAAGGGGGATTCTGGTATGTAGGATTAGGTCGAATGAATACATTTTTATAATATGTTGTCAGGTCTTCCGATTTAGAAATGAATATGGGAATATTAAAGGAGCCCATTGACCTTGGAATTGGTCTAAATGTTACTAATGTTTTTTCTCCTTTTAATTGAGTGAGCCTTCTTATTTATACATTTTTAACCTTATTTTAAGAATAAGCTTATCTTTTTAAAAAGTTTAAGGTGTTACTTGTCCTGTGGTGTTTTTCAACACTTTTGTATCCTTGTATTCATAAATTATGTATATAGTAATGAACATGGAAAGAAAAATAGATGTCAATAAATTGAGGATATGAAGCTCAAAATAATATTGTGAGGAAATGATTTTTGTTTGTTTGTTTGTTTTAATCGTTTTATTAGGGGCTCATACAACTCTTATCACAATCCATACATATATCAATTGTGTAAAGCACATTTGTACATTCATTGCCCTCATTGAAATGATGTTATTTATAAGTCATTATCTTCTGTGGACATACATGGGGGCTTCAAAAAGCTTGTGGAAAAATTCCAAGGTTCTCATTTTACTTTGTCACAGCCTTCTTGAGACCCCCTTGTATCGCCAAGGTCCATTCTCTATACTCTCATTGCTCTGTCATGAGTCATTAGGTAGACTTTCATAGTCTTACTGATAAAATCTATTCTGGTGGGGGCTGCTTTTTCTGTACGAGGTCTTCTGTAATGGTCAGTGTCATAATTCCTATCTGGAAATGTGTAACTTGTAGAAATTGGTGCAGAATGATAATGCAGTGCAAAGTGTTCTATTCTGGGTAGATGCTGACATTCATAGAGCAGAGTGTGATTCAGAAATGGTAATAGAGTTCTGCCTTTTTATAATTATTCAGAAATTGAAAAAATAGCTTCAAAGGAGATGGCGTGTTTTAATAAACAGCATCAGTATTACCTATTATTGCCAATTACATTGTTGACTTTCTCAATTTGTGAGATATGCTATTTGAAGGAACTGAAATCTTAGATATTGGCCAGTGTTTCAAACGTCCTTTGGCTTTCGGGAAACTAAAAATAGAGCAATGACTAACTGAGGATCTCTTGAAAAATGTTGGTTTGTTGAATTCTGCATTTCCCTTCTTGTGCTTTTTTCCCTCCTTCTTCTCTCTCCTGTCTCATTCTATAGATTCAGATCCAGGACACACAAGTGAAAACTGGGGGGAGAGACTTATCTCTTCTTACAGGACATATTCAGGTAATTAGATTATCAGGTGTTCCTGTTGAGCTAGCAGTTTCTGTCGCATTTACAGTTAATTACTGAATTATAAATTAGTTGTCAAACCTAGTCTATAGTAATGAATGGGCTACATAAATGACACTAAAATTATTCCAGTTTTGTTCTAATACCCAGTTCCTCATATCTAACACATGCAAATATATAAACAGGACATTCTGCTGTATAGTACAATTTGGCAATTCACATAAAAGAGCAATGTAAAATAGCAGTCCGTGGAATATTGATTGCTGTAGTTTTAGGGGAAGATACTCTGTCTGTGGTATACCCTTTACAAGGTATACCAAGTACACTGATTGTGAAAGGCAGTGTTCGCTTACCCTTAAGTCAGGTAGTGCTTTAAAGTAATTTAAAAAAATTTTTTTGATTCCATTGAGCTCTTTAGTCTTTTAATTTTGCTACCCATCTTGAATTTAACTAAAAGTGAAAATGACTTTATCATTAATTACCATGGGACTTTTCTATTATGCTATGGTACAATATTAACATGTTTTCACTCACAAATACAAGAGAATATATAAAATTACCATTTTAAAATAAAGAATAAATATTCTCTAGTATGTGAAACCAATTAGTTGCATATTTCGGCTGCCTTTTTTAAACCTTTTTATCTCTGACCTTTTTTCTTAATGTAAATATTTTCTAGTCCCTAGGTATTAAAATGAACAATTTTCAGCATATGACATTTAGTTCTAAGCACTGAAATGAACCTTCTGTTTGTAGTATACTTTTTATTTACTCCATAAATTAAGGGGTTGAGTATGGTAGAAGCAAAACAAAATAAATGCCCTTAAAATTATCCTTAAACCTATTATTGGAACCGATAAATCAATAGTCCCCGATTGTAAAAAACGAGGGCAGACATCTTACTGATAATCTGCTGTGCATTGAAGACTTCTAGTGACCGAGGAGTTAGGCATATTTCTAATACGGGAGGATTTCTGGGGGCCTCGCATGGATTAGTACTTGGCTGAAAAGCAAGTCTGGAGATTCTGCTCCATCCGGAGGCATCTTAGAAGAAAGGCATGGCCACTTGCTTCTGAAAGTGCGCTCTGCCGTGAGTCAGGGTCAGCGCAACGGCACCCAGACGCGCCCAAGATAAAGTCACCTGTGATCTCGGTGTCTTTTTGAGAAATCAACAACAGGAAATACGGGCAACTATCAGAGATTCACCTCGTTAATTTTAGACCTAGAAAGTAATGGCAAGTATTGTTCTCAAATTAAAGAATGCATGTATGCACACAGCAAATGTCATTTTGATTGTGCCCACCCAGTATGTCCCTTTTCTTACACAGTGCTTTATGGAAAACATCAAGGCCTTGTTTCCATTTTTGAAGCACTGGAGATTAATTAGCCAATTCTTCAAGAAAAACAACTTTCATCCTTAATGTGCTTTCCTTAATTGGATAAGACAGTTTGGGGTCAACCTGAAAAGAGCATTTCTCAAAGTCTTGTGACCTGTGAAAGAATGTTGGATTGTTAAAAAGTGCGTTTCTTGGCAGGAGGCAGGGAGGCACTGCTTTTAAATAATCTTAAAGTAAATCTTTAAGACTTTTTCCTGTAAGTGATCTCTATACAAATAGGGAGCATAATGAACTATTGTATTGAACTGCTAACGGTAAGGTCAGTGGTTTAAACCCACCAGCGTCTCCCTTGGAGAAAGCGTTCACCTTTAAAGGTTCAATTCTTGGAAATCCGAAGAGACAGCTCTGATCTTTAGGGTCCTTTAGGGTCATTATGAGTCAGAATGTACTGAGTAGCCAGCAGTGAATTTTTCAGGTTTTTTAAAAACCAAGGCAGGCGTCCCTAGGGGTATAGAAAGGTAAGCATTTGTCTACTGGCCAAAAAATTGAGAGTTCAGACCCGTCCAGACACTTCCTAAAACAGACGTGGTGGTCTGCTTCTGAAAGGTCGGAGAGCAGTTGTATTAAACACACGTGGGAGCCCATGCGTCAGAATCCGCGCAGTGGCAACTAACAGTAACCGTAGCAGGAGATGAGTGGAATTTCAAATCAGTTGAAGACTGTCCAAAATGACCACATTTTGTGTTTGTACTTATGCTTTAAAGTGATCTGTTGTGAAACAAATAAAGACATCTTTCAGTAATTGAAACGTGAGAAGTACTTAACTCTTTTTGATGTACTGTGTGATCATATTTAACTTGGACAGGTCAAAGGGAGCAGGTTCTTCGCAGGATAGACCCCAAAGAGTCAAACTCTTGTTGAATACATTAGACTTGAAATTGCACACTTTGGGACATGTTAACATAGTGTCTATGGTATTGAAGAATGATAGATGCATATGTGTAACCTGGATAGCTACTGTTGTTCACTTTTCTTCTTTTCCTAACCCAGATTAAACACGAACTCAGACATCTTATTGGAATGCTTTTCTAAAATACAATAATTATGTCTTTATTCCTTTGGCAGTATGTAATTCTCAGTTAATTATAAGTGTTGTACTGTCTTCCTTAAGCTAATTATGTGCCATATTAGAGTATTCTTTTTCAAACATTTCATAAATGCACTAATTTTTTTCTATATTGGTTTCCTTCAATTATGAGATTGTATTTATTTCCTTAAAGCATTTTTTGTGTTTTGTGTAAAATTTTCAGTTACATATTTCAGTTTTTGGGGAAAATACGTTTATTCGAATATTTTTATTCAGATAACAATACTGCTGTGTACACATGGACTCACCATGAGTCAGTATTGATAATTATGTTTTCTCATTAAATGCTAGAGAAAAGCACACAAAAAATTAATCAGAAAAGTATATGGCTTAGGAAGAATTTAGGCTTCTCCAAAAGTCTTGTCTAGAAGTTTATCATAATTTTAGTGCTAAGGTTAAATACCAATAGGATACTGGATTTCTACTAAATTGGATTATTAATGATAATGATAGGATAAATATGAATCTAAAAGTATATTAAAGATATGATTAAAGATTGGTTTAAATAACTTTAGAACTTTTTTGTTATGTAATAAACAAAGCAAACCAGACATAATAGGAGCTACTAAATTCTGAGTGGTTTGTGGACAACAAAGTATGAACATTAGGATGCCAGTAACTTAAATAAGTGGTATTTTAGAAGAATTATTAAGAGTTCTTACTACTACTAATAACATCAAACTATTATTATTACGATCTTAGAATTTTCTAAGTTAATAAATGTGTATCTCAGAATACCCTCGCTACTGCATATCTTCATTAAAAAGGGACTGTATTAACTTCAATTCCTGTATTTACATAAACTTTTTATCTTTTTTTTAAGTTTAAATTTTTTCATTTTACATTTCTTTTCTGAAAGTACCTTCCAATATGACCCGTAAATCCCAGGTCTTTCTGAGGGGTATAGGTGGGAGGATGAGGGCACACATAGAAGCCCTCCTGGCGCTGTGACGAGGCGATTGGATCGCTAACAGCAAGGTCGGGGTAAGAGCCCACCGGCCACTCAGAGAGTAAGATGAGGCTCTCTGTCCCGGGGAGGACTCAAGCCTCAGGAACTGTGGGTGGGGTTACTAAAAGTTGGATTGACTTGATAGCATTGGGTTGATAATAATAGGGTTCTCCAAATAAACACCTGGATAGTCACCAGACCATCTGCATTAGGAGGCTCAAGACCACTTGGATTAACTTCCAGAAAATTCCTAAAGAAAGGAAAAACATGCATCATTCATCTGTGAAATACACTTCAAATTGTTTCCTGACATTTAATGAGAAATGCTGGATGCATTGCTCAGTCTAAGAGCTGATTTTGTGACAGGTCACAAAGATCTCTTTGAAAGGAATCGTTGGGGATTTTTGGATTTGCAGGATTCCTGTTAACTCATGACTACAAGGAACCACTAAATTGCCCATTTTTAGCCTTAATAAGTGTCATTTCATGATAAATCATTATATGACTGGAAGAAAGTGAATAACAAGTACTTTTTTCAATAGCTATTCAGTAAGATGAAACTTGCCTAAAGTGATGAAACACTTAGCTTCATAGTAAATTGTGCAAATCATTAAAGGAATTAGGAAGGTAATTTGAAGATCGAAACATTCTAATATAACAACAGTAATTCAGAATAAATTTATAATTAATGAAATAGAAATTTCAAAGACGTAATACTATCTGAGTATTTGAAGTGTTTTAGGATATTTGAAATAATAGCAATGTTAAATTGTAGAAAACTGAGTTATTAAAAATAGATTTTACTAAAAGTAAGTTTCTAAATGTTAACTAATTTTCTAAAAATAATACCACTAAAATATGCTTTTTCAGAGAATTCAAGAAGAAAATTGCTTATACTATGTAATAAAAATCTAGTGTTCTTTGGTCTCTTACTACTATTTAATGTAATATAAACTTATATGCATATATAGCATCTATGGTTTAAAACTGTGTTTTGCTTTATGTTTTTCTTTTGATACTTAAAATGTGTTTCAAGTTCCTACCTATCTATTAATGCTTCTAGAGAAAGAAGGTCCAGAAAAGAAGAAGGCAAGGAAGGAAGCTGGGAATAAGAAATCCACCCCGGTTAGCATTCTTTTCGGCTATCCACTCTCTGAGCGAAAGCAAATGGCGCTGCTTATGCAGATGACAGCACGAGACAACAGTCCAGGTGACAGCTTATGTGTATTCTGAATTCTTGTCAGTCAGCTCTAGCCTTTAACAAGTATTTCATTTTTAAGTGCTTCTCATTTTGATCTTTCCTGGATTTTATCAGAATTTCAAGTTTGTGATTTAATTTATTTGCATTATAATTTGTTATCTCTGTCTCTCAGTAGATTGACAAGAGCAGAGATCTTTGCACTTAGTATGCATTCAATACATTTTTGCCAATCAAGTAATTCAGAATGGGTTACTCAACTCGAGCAATCATTTTGTAAGGCTGCTTTCAGGTTTATAGTCTACTTTTCATTTCACGTGGGATATAAATTGGTAATTTTACCACATTATGATTTTTGAAATCTACTACAGTTTCCCACTTCCTTTCCCCCAACCTCCCCCTCTCCCCACTACATTCTTTTTAAAAGAAAAATAACTGAAATATGATCAATTTATATCATTTTCGATTTCTACTTAAGTTTAGTGTCTCCATGAGTCAAAATTTATTTGATGGCAACTGGTTTGGTGTTATTTCAGAACTGCCCGAGGCATATGCAGGCCTAGAAATCTGTGCCATTTGTGAAAGTTTGTTCTTCCGTATACATGGGAGTACACTATGACAGCCTGTGGCACAGGGTTAAGCATTCATCTGACTGACAAGTCAGCAGGTGGTTTGAACGCACCACTTCCTTCATAAAGAATGCAGCTTTGGAAACTATTGTATAGGAATGCTAAAAGTTGGAATTAACCTAATGGCAACCAGTGTGGTTTGGTAGTGTTTATACTATAATCCTCTTTTGTAATTAGTTATTTTTATCTAAGGGTAAATCCTGCTCAGCTTTTTTTGTAACATTTAAAATTAGAATGAAAAGATTTTGAAATATCAAGCTATTTGCAGTTTAAAATTCACTGTTTTATTTATTGACATAATTATCCATTTTTCAAACCCAGATTAATAACATTGTATATTACTACTATTTTTTACATGTGCATTGCAATATTCTATATGAATTCATTTATATCCCAATTTGTCTAGGCCTTTTTTCAAACTTCTTGTGCTTCTTTTACACCCTGGGTTTATAAACCTGTATTCATTTCATATTAAAATCATCCATGATCATAGTTTGCATTGGCTATCAGAGCAGAACTCCAGTACTTTGTGTCACAAGTACACCCTAGCTTTCAAGTTTATTTCTTCTGATTCTGAGAACGATAACCTAATGTTTCCCTGAAAAATGCACTGTTTTACAGTTCATCAAATTAGTGAATGGTAAAACTCTTTGGGTGTACATACTTTATATTTTATTATTTTAAGCTAACTTTATGAATTGACGTTATGAAATATATTTCTGAATTGACTAATGTGATATTTGACAGCCCTAAAAGGAAGATCTTATTCCATATGTTTGGGTCAAGTTATTAACATATCACACAAATCAAGTTTCTAATTATCAGGTTGAGAGAAATACTCTCCTTCGGTTCCAGAAAATTACAATGAAGGCAATAAAAGCATTTAGGTGGTTGTACAGAATACCGGAAACGCTTGTTAACATTTTTCTTTCTTGTAGATTCTACACCAAATCATCCATCACAAGCAACACCCACCCAAAAGAAAACTCCCAGTTCCTCATCGCGACAAAAAGATAAAGTTAATAAAAGAAATGAGCGTGGTGAAACTCCTTTACACATGGCAGCTATACGAGGAGATGTGAAGCAAGTTAAAGAATTAATAAGTTTAGGGGCAAATGTGAATGTGAAAGATTTTGCAGGTATGACTCAAAATTCAAGACAAATATTCAGAAACTAAAATTTAAATTTTCAGAACATTATGTTTACTTCCACATACCATTATTCTTTTTGATGGAAAGAGTTTCAAAAGTGCACTACATTTATTGCACTTTTTTGGTAGCGTGTACATAAAATTCTAATATCTGTTCCAGTTTCAAATCAATAATTATTCAATTTTTTTTAATAGAAAGCATTTTATTGGTATATTGTAGGTGAATTAAGGCACCCTAGTGGCCTAATAGTTAAAGGACCCGACTGCTAACTAAAAGGTGGAATGTACTTGGAAGCTGTAGGTTTTGGATAGGTGAATTTCAGTTACATATTTTCAAAGTAGTTAGTTCATTCACAGTTCTTTCAAGAACAGTTATAAACTTGAGCTTGAGGAATTATACTCTAGTGGTGATGGCATTTTTACCTTCATTCAAATCGCACATCAGTACTTTCTTGCAATAAAGAATTCAAACAGTAAAAGTACAGAGAACAATGTAGATACTCACCTTGATTTCATATATCACACTAACTCCTAATCGCTAGTTTCTTTTATTTCCACGTAGCTATTCTTAAAACGTAGAAAGTTATCCGTTCTGGTTTCTTTGTTACCATATATTTATATATAGAGAGAGAGCATTTAGGCTTCACTTTAAAAACATGAGTGAGAGCATTTCATATATTGCTACCACTCTGTAGTTACACAACTTGCTTTTTTTTAAACCTAATATCTAACAGATATTTGTCAGTACATATATTAGGTTTATTTCATTTAATTTAATAGTTGAACAATATGGTATAAATTTCCATAGGTAATGCTATAGTGAACACCTGTGTATGAATATCTTTGTGTAGTTATGTATTTCAGTAGAAGGTAAATTACTAAATCAAAGACATGTGTATTTAAAAAACATGGTCATATTGCCTTTCAGAAGAAGCCTTTTGTCAATTTACACTACCAACAAGAATATGTGAAAGAGCAATTCTTTGCATTTCTACAATAAAACTGCATATTATCAATGTAATGTTATCTAGCCCTAGTGGCACAGTGGGTTATGAATTGGGCTGCTCACCAATAGGTCAAAAGTTCGAAACCACCAGTCAATGGGAGAAAGATCTACTCCCAGAAAGACAGTCTTAGCAACCTAGTTCTACTCTGACCTCTCAGGTAGCTATGAGTCAGAACTGGCTCAATAGCAGGGAATTCGTGCGGCCTCTTTTCTGCTTATCTCCTCCCTTTTCTGCTGTACTTTTTATTTGATAAACCAAATCCACAACCCTTGAGGCTATTTATTAAGGAGCAGATCACCTCATCTTTTTCCATAATATTATATAAAAGTATAATCATCTGAAGAAATGTAGTACAGCAAACACAAAAACGGTTTAAAAGAAAAAGGTTATTTTTTCCTCCAAGATAAGAAATTGTATCTGGGCGGTAGGATTATATACAGGAAGTGTATTTCCTCACTAATGATGATCGCTTTTGCAGTTTTTCACTGGGCATGTCACTTTTTTACTACAAAAGTAATTATAATAATACTTGGTTAACATGTTAAGCTATTTCCCTCGGTGTTCATTTCCCCCTTCTGCATTATGTTTAAGATTTAGTAGTGTCGCAGAGACAGCATGGTCTCTCTTCCTATCTCTTAGCTTCCTATAGAAGCGACACAAGATTGCGAGCATCAGAATTATGATTGTAAACAACACAGTCAGACAGAATAAAACAACCCCTGTGGCTTTCCGAGACTGGCCCCTGTGATTTCTGAGATTGTAACTCTTAACAGGGATAGAAATACTTAGTGCCAATAAAAATTATATTGTATTTAGTGAACTTTCTGTAAAATGATTGCTGTTCTTAGGTATTCAGTTTTAATAGTTTTCTTCTCACTCCTTTTTCCTTCGGTAGCAAGTGCGTGTAGGATTGATGTGCCACATATGTGCATGTATCTTTAATTAGTACAGGTGAGCCATGTTTAAATTAATATTGTCACTGTAGGTTGGACACCACTGCATGAAGCTTGCAATGTTGGATACTATGATGTTGCTAAGATACTTATAGCAGCTGGAGCAGATGTTAACACACAAGGATTAGATGATGATACTCCACTCCATGATTCTGCTAGTAGTGGGCACAGAGATGTAAGTATGATGAAAAAATCAGCAACATATATATCCTTTCTATATCTTTGAAAACAAACAAACAAACAAACATTTTGTTTCTGTGGGTCCGAAAGCCAGGCTTAGCTGGGTGCCTCTACCTGATGGTCTTCCATGTGGTTGCTATTAAGCTGCCAGCCAGGGCTGCAAATTCATCTGATGACTCAAGTGGAGGGGAGTCCACATCAAAGCTCACTCACATGGCTGTTAGCAGCCCTTGGTCCCTCATCACACAGGTCACCTCATAAGCGGGCAGTAGCTAGACCCCATGTGAAAGAGTAGAATTGCACTTGGGGTCTGGGTTTGGGACTATAAATTTTATGGTAGCAGAGCACAAATACTGCCCTCAGGGCTTGGTAGGCCAGGATGTGCTCCACTCTCTCTTCCTCTCCCTTCATTTGCTCCTGTGTGCTCTGATCAGACTTGTCCCTCTCCCTGAGCTGCAGCTTCAGTGCGGTCCTCTGAAGTGCATTCTTCTGCGGGGAGGGGGCTGTCCACTTAGTTGTTAATGGGGCCGGCCCCTCAGGCCTCTCTATGGGTTCCTTGCTTCATGCCAGTGTGTTACGTTCTCGTCTTGGAGTGCCCACTTAAAGTCTGGTCCCTCTTTCCTTGTGGAGACACAACACCCTACCCCTGTGTGGGTCAGTGCCCTGTTCCCCCAGCTACCCATTCCTTTTCCCCCCTTCTTTTTAGTTGGCTTCCATATGTATCCCTGGATTTGGTCTGGCCCCTACCATTTTACCTGGACCTCACCCCAGGAATATATACATACAGTAGCTTTTTCCTACGCCCCTTTTGCATTTTTAAGATTACCTCAGCAAACTCAAGTTGTACTTGTCCTTTGGTGCTTGGCTTACTTTAATTAGCATAATTTCCTCCAGTCCTTCCCATACGGCGATGTGCTTCATGTGTTCATCCTGTTTTTTAGGGTTGCTTAGTACTACATTGTATGTATGTACCACAGTTGTCTAATCCATTTTTCTGTTAATGGAAATTTGGGTTGTTTCCAACCCCTTGCCATTGTGAACTGTGCCGCGATGAACATGGGGGCACAGATATCTGGCTGTGATTTGTTTCTTGCCTCTTCTGGGTATATGCCCAGTAGGGGGATTGCTGGATCATATAGTAGCTCACTTTCATCTGTTTTAGTTATCGCCAAGTTGATCTCCATAATGGCTGTACGTACCTACATGTCCACCAGCAGTGGATGAGAGTTCCTATCTGTCCACATCCCCTCACACATTTGTTACTTTCTGATTTTTTTTTAATTGGGCTATATTGAGGACTATATCTCAGGTCGTTTTAATTTGCATTTATCTTATGGCTAGGGACCTGGACCATTTCCTCATATGTTTATTGGCCATTTGGGTTTCTGTGCATAAGACACTTCTGTTCAGGTCCTTTTCCCACCTCCTCAGTGGACAATTGGTTTTTTTTCTTATAAGTTAGCAGAGTATTGTAGATTTTAGTAATAAGGCCTTTGTCTGATGTGTCATTGCTAAAGATGTTTTCCCATTCTGTGGTCTCTCTTATTACTCTTTTGGAGAATTCTGGGTATTGAAATTTGTTCCTTCCTTTCTTTGTTTAGGTTTTCCAGTGGTTAGTTGATTCTGTTTATCCTGTCAAAGGACCAACTTTTAGCAGCATTAACTTTTTCCATAGTTTTTTTCTTTTCCCTCTCTTGAATCTCAGCCCTGATTTTTATTTCTTTTCTTTTGCTATCAGGTGAATTGTCCTGTTGACTCTGCTCTAATTGGTATAAGTTTTGTGCCAGCATATCAATAATAAGTCTTTCTTCCTTTTTTATGTGTGTATGTATTGCTATGAAACTTCCTCAGATGACGGTGGCCCATAAGTTTTGGTATGTCGTGTTCTCATTTCATTAGTTTCTAGAAATTTCCTAATTTCCTCTCTGATCTGGGGCAATACATACTCCTTTTGCAATAGAGAGTTATTCATCCTTAAATTGTTTGCCCTTATATTCTTCATCTGCCTTTTGTTGATTTCCCACCTTATGGCACATTTGTCAGAGAGAGAGGTCTGTATGGTATCAATGTGCTTAAATTTATGCATATCTAACTTATGCCCAGCATGTGGTCTTTCTTCGAATATGTGCCATGTGTACTTGAAAAGAATTTTAATTTTTTTTTTTGTATTTGGGTGGAAAGCTCTCTACATTTCTATTAGGTCAAATTGTCTAATTGTAGTGTTTAGATCTTTAGCCTCTTTGTTGAATGTCTTTCCCTGTGATCTGTCTTTCTCAGAGAGCGGTGTATTGAAGTCACCCACTATAATTGTTGAGTCTGTGATTTCTTTTTTCATCTTTTGGATATTCTTCTGATCGCTTGTTCAGCAAGTAAATGTTAGAATGCTTAGTGGTTCTTGGTCTATGGTTGCCTTCAGCATTATATAGTGTCCCTCCTTATCTTTTTATGGTTTGCATATTGAGATCGATTTTATCCAAGATTAGAATTGCTACTCCTGCTTTTTTTTAATTGCTGTTTGCTTTGTGTGTTTTTCTCCAGTCTTTGATTCAAAGCCTATTTTTGTCTGTAATCTTGAGATGTGTCTCCTGAAGGTAGCAGATCTAGGAGTTGCCTTTTCTAAGCCAATCTGTTAGCCTCTGTCTCTTAAGGCCTGAGTTCATTCCATAGATATTCAGGGTTATTACATCCATCTGTGAACTCTGTGATGTCATTTTATCCCTCATGTTGGGTGTTTTCCTACATCCATTTATTTTCCTTGGGTTGTTCATGTGTGTGTTTGTGGTTCATTCTTGCCTTCTTTCCATCAATGAGCCAGTGGTATCTTGGGAGCTTTTATCCCTTTGTTGCCCTCTGGGTGGAGTTGTTCTCTGTGGTGGTCTCTTACTTGTGCTTGGTGAGTGTGGTTCTTCTGCCCGTACTGGGTCAGCAAGATCTTTTGTAGTGCTGGGTTTTTTTAGCGTATTCGTTTGAGTTTTTCCTTTTCCAGGAAGACTCTCACTTCTCCATCAACCTTGATAGATAATTTGACTGGATAGCGTATACTTGGGTTTGTGTTATTTCTTTCAGTTTTCGGAATATGTTGCTCCACTCTCCTCCTCTTCATAGTGTCCACTGATAGGTCTGAGCATATTATCTGCTTGCCTTTATATGTGACTGCTTGTTTTTCCCTAACTGCTCTCATAATTTTCTCCTTTTCCTCAAAGTTGGATAGTTTAACAACTATATGTCTTGATGACTTCTTCTTGGGATTCAGTTTAGCTGGTGTTCTTGTGGCCTCATGGATGATTGGTTGCCTGGTTTCGTTCATTAAGCTGGGGAAGTTTTCCTCCAAGAATTCAATCCCTATTTGTGACATTGATTTCCTTAATGTGTTTTCTTCCGGCAATCCAATTATTCTGATGTTGTTTCTTCTCATAGCATGAGACATAGCTGAGGTTTCCTCCAGCTTCTCTGGTGGCCTTGGAGTTTTTCTCATGTTTATTCATTTCTGCTTGTGAGTCCTCTAGGTCACTGATGCGGTTCTCTGCCTCCTCCATTCCCTGGGCAAAGCCCGTGAATTTGCTATTAGTTTTTGTTATTTCACCCCTTAATTCCTGAATTTCCCTTTGGTGCATGGCCTTTATTTCCTCTATCGTTTCATCCTTTTTCTGTAATGCTTCCCTCCTATCCTATATGACTCTGAGCAGCATTCTGAAGATTTCTCTCTGTGGGAGGTCAACACCTGCCTTTTCTATGAGTGCCGTTAGGTCCAGGTCATCCTCTGGCATTGAATTTTGTTTATCTTTTCATGTTGAAGCTGTGGAAGCAGCTTCCTGGTTTTTTGTCGATTTATTGGAACTAGGTGCCATTTTCCTGGGAGTCACAGAACCCTGGTCTCTCTCTTTGGGAGGTCAGTGTGGGTGTTTCTGTAGATTTCCTATAGCCAGCTGCCTTGATGGGTTGTGTTTCACCTTTGTCCTGCTGGGGTTTCTGTCTTGAATTGGCTTATGCTTTGTGCTCCAGCCACCCTCAGCCCTCGGTAGGGGCTGTTTGAAGCTGTGCATGCTGCAGTCTGATGGAAAGTATTGGCCCGAGCACAAGGGCGCATAGTTTGGGGATGACGTGAGGATTGAGTAATCTGTTACTCGCTACGGGCACTTCTGACAGGTAGGTGGGTGGGAAGGAGGGCCCCGCTACTTCTGTTAGCACGCAGATCCATTGATCAGAGCATGGGGCGTGGAGGGGTGTTAATTTCAGAAGGCAGAATGGAGAATGCAATGGGAAAGCTCCAAAGGCTTGGGGCCATAAGCCGCAGCTGCACAAGCTTCTGCCAGACTTGTGCCTGACACCTGGGAGGCCCGGAGCATCACGGTGAAATGGGAACCTCTGGTGGGGAGAGTGTGGCCTGGCTGGTGGATCTGTGTGGAGTGCCAAGATGGGGCAGGGACCTCTGGGTTGTGAGGGTCTGGCTGGTGGATCTGCGTGGAGTGCTGAGGCAGAGCAGAAGCCCCCACCTTATGCCTGAATGGCAGGCGCCCGAAGCTCCACAGAAGAGGCATCTGGTAGGCCTGAGACCTTGGGAGTCCACAGGGAGTGCAGGCGCTGGGACTGAAGTCAGCTTCTGGTTCAGAGAAATGCTCTGGGCTGTCTCGGGGATCGACTGACAGTCTTGGCACCCTTACTTGGCCCCCAAATCTCCCCACTCACCGATCTCCACGGGACTCCGGGCGTGAGCTACTTACCTGGTCACCATCTTGCCCCTCCAACCTTTCTATCTTTTCTTGATGCATCCTGCATCATTCAGTATTTTGCCATAGTTTCTTTCAAGATTTCAAGTCAAGGTTTGAATTTTTCTTGAGTTCTTTCAGTTTAAGATATGCTGAGTGTCTGCCCTTTTGGTTTTCTAATTCTAGGTCTTTGCACATTTCATTATAATATTTGGCTTTGTCTTCTCAAGTGGCTCTTTGCAATTTTCCATTCATCTCCTTGACTTCATCCTTTCTTCTATGTGCTTTA